TTAAAGAATATCAAAAACAAATAATAAAAAGAAACGTCAAAAAAACTGCTTGTTAGCCTCGACAATGAGTGATCCAAAAACTGAACAGCCCCGCTCCCGTCGCAGACGTCGCCTTATGTAGTGGTAGCAATTTTGCTGATTCGGCTTTATTCAATTTTGCATCATTGTTTTAATTTTTTATAATTTTGTTATGTATATGTACAACAGTTCTTATGTATGCTAGTACCTGTAATTCTGTATCGTCATCAAACATATTTGCTCTTCGCCTTTATTGGTTCATTTGTCTGCCAGGAAATCTTCCTTCCTGATTTAACCCTTGTAAAAGTCGTAAAACATAATTAAATGGTGGATGGTATCTTTCTGGGTATCGTTCGTCATATGTCGCAGCGGCTAGGCGTACATTACGCTGACATTCACCATAAATTAAAACCAACTCAACTTTTTCAGCGTTATTCATATTTAAAAACGTATCATTTATAAGAGTACTTAATAACTAGACATACACAGGTAACGCTCACACTTTAGTACAGGTCTAGTTACAGAATAAAAGTAAAATTATATTTTTCATCAAACTAAATACCTTAATAGTTACATTATCTGATTGTCTTATCGTTATTTGAGCTATTGTAAAATAAAACAAAATTCCACTACACAAATAGTTTAAATTGTAATCGTATTATAGGAGTTTACTAAACAAATATTATCACATACTCTACATATTGACCAACAGTATTATTAAATTATTATTTGTAAACAGATAAAGTAAATTAAACATTTATTTGGCACTTATTTTATTATTTCCAGTGGTTATAAATAAAAATTTCATTAAATACGAATTATGCATAAATCTAAATTTTGACTTACTCTAACTTGGTCAGTTTTGAAAATAGAAAAAAACTGTTGATACAAAAAATGCTTTAAAAAAAATACTCTACCTGAATCTGCAGATAAAAACTGGGGTTGTCATTTAAAAAAAAGTAATTTGTATTGCGTATGCGCTTACCGAGTGAGCTAAAAATTTGAAACTGGTCTGAAAATATGTATTTAAGTGCTCCCTATCACTTCCCGAAAACCCCAGTTCAATACAAGGTCATGCACCTGAGATATTTAGTGTTACCATAAATCGTGATCACACTGTATAACCTGCATGGTTTATCGACTATAATTTATAAATCACTTTTAATAATTATTAACTTTGAATTCTGGTCCAGAATTTCTGGAATCAAGTTCAAGAAATAGTATCACATCTGCTTACTAAAATGTTAACATTTGTAGAAGTGTGGTTGGAGTTTTGCCCAAAATTGTATAATTGTATCAGATTGAAAATAATTAAGATTGCGAGTGACTCAAATGAAGATTTAATATATTGAACTAATTTAAAATATTTGTATTATGACTAATAATTAATATGTAATTATGTTTGTATTATTTTTACTATAGATCACATTGTACTTGTTACTTGTAAGATACTTGTAGTAAACTACATATTATTATGGAATCATCGGTTTCATCTTGAAATAAAAAAAACATCACTATAAAAAAGACTTATAGTTTAGTTAGACTAAGCTAATTGAAAAATAAATACCTACTTTTTAAAATAAGTTTTTGTTCAGTAAACTGATATTATGTGTCAGTAGTCAGGGATTCATTCATTCATTAACAACTGTTTTTAAGGAGTTCAATATTGAAAATTTCCTAAGTGCGGGCTTATGTGTCGTGTAATTGTTTCTGAAAAAAACATTTGAATTTGTCATGAAGTTCTTACTTGAAATCTACTTTCTTACATGTTAAAATTAATTTGTTTGGTTTGACATTATTAACATTAAAATTTCTTAATAGGTATTGTTAAACATTTAATTTTAAAGGGTTTAAGAGTTCAAAAAGTGGTAGTTGTTTTCAAGTTAACTTAATGATGGATGCAAAATGTTTTCAGAAGTTTTATCCGATATAATAGGATAATCTGTATAAGTTTGGGCATATTGTCGTTCTTGGTAGAAAATAGCCGGTTGAACGGCTTTAAGATAATTGATCCAACCAATCTTAACCAAAGTAAAAAGCAATTAATAAATAATGAGTAAATTAATGGATAAAAGTATTATATTTTGTAGCTTAGGGCAAGACTAAGGTGGACTGAGCAGTGCACAGACAATCATGCGGACAATAATTGGCCCCCGCATAACAATGCAGTATGCTGACAATTGGTCCGTCATAATTTGAAAAAAAATCAAAATACACAAATTATCTAAATCATTTTGAATTTTTGAGCTTTTTTAGTTAAGGTATATTATTAAGTTTTATGTAAGCAAGGCCTCTCTTACAGATATTCTGGTAGGATTTACAATCACCCTCCTATACAACCAATAGTCAGGTCGACTTTCATTGTCGGGTTCGCCTAGTATGTTGCAATAATAATTATAAGCGCCTATCCCACACTCATAGTTAATTTAGAAGGGATTGTCAAGAAGATGATGTTAATTAACTGTTGAACCATAATAGTCAATGTTGGCTAGATTTTTCTTTATAGCAACCCAGATTTTTGAAACTGGAGAATCGATTTTGTGGTGTAGGGTCTAATTAGAATCACATTGGCTAAGAGAAGTGCAGTAAATATTTTCAAACCTATTATCTTTAAAAGTGTATTCAATACAGACCTTTAAAGTTTTACATAATAAAAACACACATGTACAATTGTGGCATACTTAAAACTGAATTTCAGGGGAGGGGATTAATAGGCCAATGCCACTGTAGGCGCACTCACACATTATATATAAATAATAACTATTCACCAAAACATAAAATTAGTATACATTTTTAAGAGGGTTAAAAAGTACCAGACGAGTTCCATAAAAACAGTATTGAAAAAGGGGGCACACTTCTATCACTTCTTCATGCTATCTACATTCTACAAGTACCTACGTTATCTACTGTAATCCGTATTGACGGTATCGATATTATATTTATATATATTATATATATATAGAAAAATTATTTTTTATGACAAAACTTGTATACAATTTTTAAAATATCCTGAGTGATTACCTAATACAAAACTGTGTACAAAGTTAAATTTTATTGGAGAACAATGTAATGGTGATATAAAAGAAACTTAAGAAAAAAGCCGAAAACGTGATGTAAAAGGAAATATGACTAGAATGTATACTAGAATGGTGGAGATCCGTCAATCAAAAAAATAAAAATAATATGAACAACTGTAAACAAACAGGCTATTTAAAATAGGATAACTGTGAACCAACAGGCATTGAACAGGTTAGTTCGTAGATTTTTATAAATGATTTTCTTGGTAGATAGCGTACGACACTTGTGCCAAAAAGGGTTTTAGAAATAGATCACTAAAATATTGTAATTAAATGTGTTTCGGTTTGGAAAATTGTCCATTTCGAGCACTGCTAGAGGTATCATTTGGTTTAATTTTAATTCTATTGTAATGTTAAGAATACAATTAGTTAATAATTCCCCAAAAATTAAAAATCAAAAAGTGTACATGCGGTAACTGACTTGGCAAGCGTTTTTTTAACAACTATAACAACTTAAGGATAGCCTTATAATGAAATTTTAACTTTTCTCTGACAGAATAAATAATTTTTTATAGACATTCAAAGAAAAAATTAAAGTAAATCGAAGACGTTATAACTTTTTGGCAACTAAATAATTATTTAATACATTTTCATAATTTACTGGTTAGAAGCTATTAACACTTAACAGTGAACATTATAAGTTTTAAAATACTAGAATAAATCAAAAGTATAATTAAGTACCATTAGATGGTCTGGCTTTAAAGAAAACCATACTAATCAATACTATTTTGATTGGGATTTTAAATCTTTATATCTTTGTTGTAAATAAAAGAAAACAATACACCGGTGGAGGTGAGGTCGGCAGTGTTTTGTGCTGCTAAGAGTAACCTTCCTATAGTCACAGAGTTAAAACATTCAATTTGAGGTAGTTTTTTAAATTAAATTAGGTCAGAACTCAGTCAGCAGATGTTGATGATGTTTTGGTATACACAACAGCAGTAATCATATGGATAGGTTTTGAAAGTTTAGAGATCTCTATTCTAGATCAAGGAATTCAATTTATTACAAAATAAAAATAATAAAAATAAATTAAGATTATTTTATTGTATAATACATTAAATATATAATGCTTGTCGAAATATTAAAAAACTAAAATCATAATTGTACAGAAAAAATTAAATAATTAAAACAAGACCATTCAATATATCAACATAAAAAAAGTGAAAAAAAATTGTTTGAATTAATACAAATAATTGAGTTGGTATACATAATAATTAATGTAAGGATGGCAAACAAAAATGGAAGTCGTATAAATTTATAGGTATTTTATATGCATACACATACAAAATCTACACACATACACATTTGTATGTGTACAAATATATAAAATAATTAATTTTGAATGGGCTAACAAAAATCTATGTAATATAAATTGAAAAAAAATTATTATAAACATATAGGGTGTTTTGCACCTCATAGTATCAAATAACAATGATCTATATCCATAAAAAAGTTTAAAAAAAACAAACAAATTATAGATCATAATATGAATACATATTAATTAGAATAATAAATCATATTAAATTAGAATTAGACAATTTCAAAAAAGGTAATCAATAAAAAAAAAAAACCAAAATAAGTCAATAAGGATTTAAAAAAAAAAATTGTTAGATGAGCAAAAAATAAACTTCAACAATGGATTTTCTCAACATTTGAAAGAGAAAATACATTCAAAAATACGAATGTAAACTGTAACATAAGTTAACAATGAATAATTCTCTAAGTAGAGAAATTCAACAACTTAAAATCCAACATAAAACTATTAATTTAAATAACGTCTTTAAAATTTAATAAGTAGGTCCAATTTTGGAAACAGAAAAATTGAAAAATTGTCTTTGACAAGAATACAATTACAAAAATGATTTATATATAAGTTACATTAACAACAAATTTTGAAAATCTTTCAATTTTTCGTAGTTTATTTTAAATTTTTGTTTAGAATTAATGGCAAATGCTAATTAATATTAGTTATAATTTTTTCTTGGTCCATGTTTAGCATTTTCTTTCTTACCTTCCAATACAAGTTTCGATACATCCAATACACATGAATTGCAGTCATTGTCTGTAGAACTTTCATTTAAGAGTGAATCGTCAGTAATATAAGGTTCATATTTTCTTAACCGTTCAATTACATGTTTTAACTCTTTTTCTAGACGAATGGTTTTTGTTTGGTATTGATCACACCAAATTCGAAGATTTTTAAGTTCAACTGTTTCAGGCCGAGAATTACTCAATTTATCTCGAAAATATCTATAATACAATATAATTATATTTTAATTATTCATTAGGTCGTACTTATTTTGATAACGAAATCACTTACCCCAACGGATCATTTGGTCGAAAAGGATCTTGATACATATCGGATAATATATTAGTGAATGTAGATAAAATACCCATTTCTTCCAAGTATTTTCTGAATTCTTCATGCCGTGTATCAAACTAACAATTAACATTGAAAAAAAATTATTTTAGTTGGTATAGTTAAGTTTTCATAACTAGCTTTAAATTTCATATGAGGTTAGTTCACTATGACTTTTTAACTAACTGAGCTTAACGTGATCTGCTGATCATAAAATTTGGTATGTTATGCACTAGTAAGACGGAGACAATAAATGCTTGTGTAACATTCCCTTAAGAATATCCAAATTTACTCAACATTTGTTCACAAAATAGATAGGTATATCAGGTAGTAGATACTACAGTAAGTTACCTACAATTATTTATAACATGAAGTACATTTGTTGACTACATTTCATGCATAATAAATTTAATAATAAATCCAAATAGGTACACTAAAAAATTATACACATAAATGAGTAGAATTTAAACTTAAGTAAATTATTATAAAAATATCCTGAATAACAGAATAGTAGATTAAAATTATTGGTTGTTTGTATTATTTCACAACCCAATTAATCTATTTTTTAATAGACTTGAAGCGTATGAAGTTAACGTGTTAGATAATGATCAAAACTTTAGAGTAGGTATTCCAGTATTCATGTAGTATTCTATCCATCAAAAAACTGTACACATGTAGTACCTATGTTACCTACCGGAAAATGTGACATGTCATACTGACTCTTATAAATGTTATTTTTATATATTATAATAAATATTTAAGTCTGTGTTATGTCCATTCATCCAGCTGTTTTAAGCAATAGATATGTTTGATCATCAACTAAAATAGGAATGGTGGCGGTCCATTAAAACATAACACGACAATTAATTTGAAGTTGTATGGGATGGCGTTAAAATAACAGGTATAACAATTTATTAAGTATTAAAATATTTGATGATTGACAGCAATACATTCAAGTAAATTTTAGTTTTATATATTCTTATAAATCAATAATCAGTAGGTAAAATACGGTAACCACAAGTACAGTTTTTTGGTAGTCAGCACACTGCACCAACGAAATAGTGGAAAGTAGTATACCACATGAGTACTGGGATACCTACTCTAAAGTTTTGATCATTATCTAACACACTAACTTCATACCTATGCTTCGTTTAAATGTAGACAATATATGTATTTTATGTTTATAAATATTTATAATTAAATAACAGGTCCCCTTCCCACGACTAGTCTTTATCGCTAGACTTTAGAATTTTCGCCATGCTTTGTTCAAGTATATATTATAATAGACCATAAATGTACACAAATATAAAATTGTTCACCACTCTAACGCAACCGGATCCGATGGTGGTGTTTACCTTATTGGATACATTGCGCGAGAACATCTGCCGGTTCTGACGCTGGGGCGACTGCAGTTCCGAATCAATTTGCAAGTCTTCTGCGGAACTGATATTTTTGTTGCTGCTATAGTTGTTGTTGTTGTTGTTGTTGTTGTTATTGTTATTGTTGAACACGAGCTGCTGTGCATCGTAGTCGTCGTCGTCCTCTTCGGTGTGATCGTGAGCCGGTTGCTGTGGCGTCAGCGGCGGCGGCGGTGGATACTGATGGACGGGCGACCACGCCATGGGCGGATAGCCAAAGTGCGGTGGCATTGGAAACATCGGTTGCCCCGACGGTATTGGGAACGCGTTTGGGGGCGGCGGAGGCGGCTGTGTCAGTGGCGGCTGAGGGCGATAGATGGGCACAACTTGGGGCATTAACTGAAATTGAGGACAATCGGCCATAGTGCGGCACTCGTCGCTCATTGTTTTATGAACGAATTGACCGAGTACTGGTCGGAAACGTTAATAAAAGTGTATGAAAAGAGAATAACAACCACCGGACGCCGCGCGAAAAACGGTTTGACAAGCACGCAACTGTGAACTGGGCACACAAATGATTATTGACAATTGTTTTGTACAAACGCACAACACATAAAACACGATCCACTAGGCACTAATGTACTGTTGAGCGTCGACTGTTGAATTGACGATGCGGGGACCGTATTTGTTATTTTTATTTTTGACCGGGAAAACCATAATTTTAGAGCGCATTAACCGCGGTTAAGGTGCTTATCAAATGGTTAACCGGCTATCAAATCTGTTATCATTTCTTATCGACAACAAAATATGTATTCGAAAATAAACAGTATATTTATTATTTTACTGTTTAGTATTGCAACTAAAAAAATATTATGTAGCTTACTTAGTAATTAAGTTTTTCTATAAAAAAGCTATACATTTTTCATCGCCTAGATACAATGGAGTTGCTTGTGGCAGGATTTGATGACATCAAGTTCAATGTTGAAATAGCTTTAGATGAACAACATGGGGCTTTACCTCTACCGTTCAATGGGATGGACAGTAAGTCACTATTGTTATTTATTTATTCAAACATTGAAATTGAATATGAATCAATGTCTTATTATTGCTGTATGTATATTATATGAAAACTATTCAATGCTATAAAAAGGTTCCTGTTTGATTAATTATGTATTCCGAAATAGTAGGCAACTGTAAATTGGAATGATTAAAATATTTCTTGAAATTTTGACTACATTTTTACAACATATAATTTTAAGGTTTAGGTATATGACAAAATCAAAGTACATATTATACCTATGTTCTAAAAGTTATATTGAAACATGTTTATGCTAACAATATTCGGACCATTTGTCATACTAATTATAAGTCTTTGTATCAGATCAATTCTAATTTTACTTAAATTTTTTTGTTTTAAATTATCTTAATTTTGCAGCTTTAACTTTTAACTTACAGTTATGGAGTTTAAATTTTTATCAGAATTCAAGGTACTAAGTACTAATATCCTAATTATTTAATCTAAAAAAAATGTAGAAACCATATAATATAAAAAAACCTATACTTATAATATATTTAATTTAATTAACATTCAGAAAAAAAATGTATAATACCAGTTAACATTTACTTATTGATCGATGGTATGAAACTTATTTTGTACAAGTTCATATTTTTATGTTTGAAACTACCTATAGGTTATGTTCGTTTTCTATTAATACTTTCTTTTAATTAGGAAAATAACTAACTTAACTCAAACATTGAAATTTTATATTTTGTGTTTAGAATCTATCGCTGCAGTTTGTTCATTTTATCCAAAAGGATCCTGTTCTAAAGGTGCATTATGTCCAATGCGACATGTACGAGGAGATCGAACTGTTGTTTGTAAACATTGGTTACGTGGTTTGTGCAAAAAAGGGGATCAGTGTGAATTTTTACACGAATATGACATGACTAAAATGCCTGAATGTTATTTCTATGCTCGATTTAGTAAGAAATAATACTTATTTTTAATAAACTATAATTATCTATTTATATAATATAATTTAATATTATTTTAATTTGTTTAGATGCATGTCATAACAAAGAATGTCCATTTTTACATATTGATCCTGAAAGTAAATTAAAAGACTGTCCATGGTATGATCGAGGATTTTGTCGCCATGGCCCACATTGTAAACATAAACATGTTCGCCGTGTACTTTGTATGAACTATGTTTCTGGATTTTGTCCAGACGGCCCAAACTGTAAATTTGTTCAGTATGTATTATTACTACCTGACCAATATTTTTGTCTTTACTATGTAACTACAGTCCACAATCTAACACTTGTTACAAATAATAATTTATAAAAGATTAATTTGATATAATTCATATTTTATTGACACCCGCCAGACTTGAAACCAAGATTTAAAAACCATTAAAATAATTAGAATAAGTAGAAAATATTACATGTAATTAATTAAATCATTTGTAAACCCAATGGCTCAATTTTCTGAAGTCTTTTACCAATAAAAAGAAAAAAAGTATACAGTTCATTAAAATAATAATCAACTTATTGAATAGTAATGAGTAAATTATTTAAAGTTATTGTAATTATTGCAAAATAAAATAATAATTAAAAAATATAATGTCCTAACTTGGACATTAACACAAAATTATAAATAATATATTTAACATTGGTGTTGGAATGCAGTAATGTATTAAAAAAATAATTCATAATAAATTTAATTATATGTTTTTGTGTTTGAATTATATGAATGTGTTATTTTTCATTTTAGTCCTCGATTTGAACTTCCGGCATATCAACAATATGATGCTAATCAAAAAGATGCTAAAAAACTTGTAGTAATATGTCATTTTTGTGGTGACACTGGACATAAGGCTATGTACTGTCATAAAATGGTATCAGATCTTGTAAAAATTAAACCAGAGCTGGAGGTCAACAATGAACCATTGCCAACAAATGCTCAAGCAGGATTTGCTAGAAAATTGAAACCATTAGAAGAAGTTACATGCTATAAAGTAATAATATTTTTATTCAATACCTAGAAAAGAAAATATTATAATAAAAATCTTTAAAACAATGTTATGTTCATTTGACCTTTGTAGAAAATTTCAACTGTTCATTTTTGGCTTCACATTCAAATACATCCCTTAGACATTATGTAAAATTAAATTGCAATTATTTTGATTTATGTTTCTTTCATGTAATATTCATGTGCTTATATTTATTATTTATGATATAGTTGATACATAAGTAATGAATAATCTCTAGTTAGATAAGGGTTAAGAAATAAGTAACATATAATATTTGGTACACAGTCTATACTATATAAATGTATAGTATAAAATTGTATTTTTGACTTATTTCATTACCTAAATCTATTTATTTATTTATTTATTTATTTTCTATTCAAAAAAGTATTTGTTCATCTATAAAATTTTATATTAAGTTGTAATTATTTATTATAAAATGTAAGTGTTTAAGTATGGGTAATAACTAATAATAAACTAGGTTATAAGTAGTACTAGGTAATAATAAACATTTTATAATAAGCATTTTGTGGGGAAAGATTTTATAATTGAAGCGGTAGAATTTTGTTTCATCTATTTGATAAACAATATTTATTTTTTTTCAGTGTGGATTTAAAGGTCATTATGCCAACAAGTGCCCAAAGGGTCATTTAGCTTTTTTATCTTTGCAACAAAACCAGGCACTCCAAAACAACCAAGGTGCATGATACAACAAGTCAACCTTAACATTTTAATAAAATGGTAATTAATGTGATAATGTATTATTTGTGTATATTTTTTGTTTTTTAAGGGACTTAAGTTGATACATGTACAATTTTAGGAATATTAAAATAGTTTTATTTGGATCCCTAGTAATTGTAAAAGTATACTATAACAAAAATAAAAATACTAAGATGGTTTTTAAAAAAATAAATATTTTTTATAAATGCTGAACCCTCTCCTCAAGATATTAAAGTTTGATAATAATTTCATGAAATAACATGGCGACTGCGGAATTCATTAGTTTTTAAATTTCCATTTTTATTCCATACAATTTAAAACATATAATAACTCTCATATCTATTTTTGTAGCTTTATTCTTTATTTTTTATTATATACCTTTTTTTTATTTACTGACTGAAAAAAAAATTAGATACATACTTTATAAATCTTATAGTATATCATACAACAGTATTTAATTTACAGATTCTATTAATATAGTTTGATTAATAATTTTAAATGACCAGATTATCTATAAAATAACAGGTCAACATAATCTACAACTGTTGTAAGACAAATTATCATTAAACTCACTTCAAATCAACTTTAAATTAATACAATTTGTCTGATGTAACTTAAAAGTGTGTAATATAATAATATAATACTCGCTTGCACCAATTTAGTACAAATGAGATATTATATTTGAGATATTTTTTTAATAAATATATAAAAAATTAAAATATTTATATTACTTATTGTACTCGATGTATAGATTGTAATTTTTCATAATAAAGTCAATACATTTAAAAAAAAAAAAAACTATATAAGATACTTTGAAAAATACAACTGTAAGGTATTCGTATGTTGTGTCATGTGTAAGATAGCAAATCTACGTATCTGATTATTATTAAAGTTTATTTACAGTTAATATTAGAGCAAATTTACTTAATATCTAATTTAGAAAGAAGAATATAAACTATGCTTGGGCTAAGTTTTTTTATAAGTTTATAAGTTATAAATACTTAAATGTTTCATTTTCTTCAAATTTATATTATTTGTTTTAAAAAATATATGTGAAGATTATACTTTTTGTTTGAGAAGTTTTCTCTATAAATTTGACTATATGTAAATTTACTCTGATATTAAGTATAAATAAACTATAGTAAGAATCTGGTATGTAGATTTTTTATTTTAAACACCTGTTAGACAGAGAAACGTATGGAAATATAATATCTTCTTTAGGTGTCTGAAAACTATTTATTTTGGCCGAACAGGTTAAACCACATTACAAAGAAATTACATTATTTTTAATTGTGGACATCACACTAAACATTTAAGTAAGCTTTAATGTGTCTGCAGAAACTGTAACTAACTTTTTTTTCTTCATTTTTATAGTTATAAAAATAGTTATATTGGTTATTGAACTATTAATGTATAATATTTTATAATTTTTTTTTACTTGTATATTTTTTTGTATAAAGAATCAATAGTTAAAACTAAATTGAATTATAATTTTACTTGTACTTATAATAATAAAATAAGTGCTGTTGTTTTTGTCATTAGTCTATTTAATTATAGTTATTTATATAACTAGGTTGATACTTGATCTTATCAAGTTGCAGTTGGAAAAACAGGTAAAAAATCTAGCTGTGGCTCAAAAGTTGTTTATATTTTTATCTTGATAGTTTCTTCAAATTACTGTACAAAAAATTGAATAATTTCATTAATATGTTATATAATATAACTATTAATTAGAAATATTGCATTTGCAATTTTTTTTAAACTTATTTATTTAATTGGCTCTAAATTTATTTGTTGTGTAACAAATCTCCAGCCAACTTGATATTTTGTATCTATGTAAAAAAAACTGAGTGCTAGAATATGTTAAAATCATCATCCTTGTGTTAAAAAATAAAATATCGTTTAGAGTTTTAAATTTATTAAACATAGTTACTTCTTATTTATTTAACTCTTATTCCTGGGTAAAGATTTACCCATCCAATCTATTATTCTTACTCTTAGGTAGGTATCATTTCTGGGGCGCTGATGTCAGTTTCATATATGACAAATTATCTAAATTCTTTTTTTTTGGAATGTCTTTTATCGACATTTATAGTAAAAAAAAGCCAAAAGTTTCAAATGTCTATAAATATTCAATACCTAAGTCTAAATATTTTTTTAACTAGTCCATCGGATGTAGCTCCAGAATTTTTTTAGCAGTTATCTATGCTTATTTGTAATTGAATTATAACAAAATAATAAAATCGATTTTGACGAAAACCACGGTAGGTGGGTAAGTAATAATTCAAGCTCAGTATCATGTATGGATTATCTACAATTAGTCGCTGTTACATTGTTATCCTGTAACAAATGAACTGAATTATTTGAAACCAATAAATAATAATACAACACCAATAAATATTCTTAATATTTCTATATTACACACTTAGAATAACTGTACTGCTTCAAACTAGGTACCTACCTTATACCCGGTTAACATACACTAGCCGGATTCATAGCTACGTAGTGCACGTGAGTAGTCGTATCGTGTGAGGGCGTGGTAACTATGGTTACAACTGGTAATCTATATGATTTAAAAGTTGTAGTCAATTCTCGGTATACTGGGTTTCAACTTGGTCATTAGGTACCTACTTTTATATGATACCAAAGAGTATAATATCCAATCTCAATACAATTTGATCGACAAGACATGACACATGACGACGACGTGCCTACCTAGCTAGTTAGGTATCGTAATTCTTAAGTTAACCATATATTATATGTACCATGGATTACTAGTAGATTTGCGGCGTCGATAAAAAATAGAGATAAATTTAATGGTAACACTGAAGAGGGATACTTAAAATAATTTGGTAATCATTAATCAATAATATTATAAAAATGCAAAAACAAATTAACAATACTTAATCGGAAGGCTAAAGAACAATATTATAGAAATAAAATGGAAAAATGTAGGTACTAGCATTGATTATAAGTACTATAATATAATAATACTATAGTATTTATAATCAATGGTACTTTTACAGTTTTACTTAAGTCCTAAAGGTCGTGGACGGACAATTAGGTAAGCAATTAATGAAAAGACTGAGAAATAACTCTTGCAGTGTTTCCAATTAATGAAAAAATAGAAATCGTAAGTATCCAAATACATCGTTTAAACTCTAAAGACTATTTAAATATTTAAAATAAACTCAAAATAAATTTGCGACTGCTGGAAAAAGGTTAGTGGAAAAAAAAATTTCCAAATAGAATAAAATAATACACCATCTACCTATATGTAGGGTATAAGCAGGAATAATGTATCAAATACGATACCCATTCAATTTATAACTAAACACTATTGGTAAGTGGTAGTAGCCGGTAGGAAATGAATAGTATGAGTTATGAAGTAAAAAATATATTTAGTAATCTGAATAATAACCCTGCACCAGGTTCTGGGTCACGGCTTTATTGCATTGTTTTTTAAACAAATGGGAGACAATTGTTCATACAATAAACTGTAAGTAGTTTATTCAGTGGCACCTACAGTAGCCAATGTCGGGCGAGTTGTAACTTGAAAGTAACAATAATTCTAAGGTTCATACAAACGGAGATAAACAAGATTTCAATAACTATAGACCTATCTTCATAGGTGTAACTGTGTAAGGTGATTAAATATATTGGGAGGGCTGAAGCCGCGCAAAAAAATTCAATTTGTCGTTTCGTGGTTAATTGTTGGTTATTAATTACATTTATTAAAAAAAAAACATGCCAATATATCTTAAATAGTTTTAAATTGCTAGAATATCATACGTGACAAAATATTACCAAATTGTCAAATTAATTTATGATTTTATCTGTAGACTGTGAGTGAAATGAAAATAATCTATTACCTATGGCTATTCGCTATTAACATTAATGACAATATTTGCCAATTGTCACGCTCACATCAACATGTTGGCTGTAGGATGTACATTTATAATACATAAACCTGATGAGTATTATACCCATGACCGTAGGGATACATAGGCATTGTGTATTTTAGCATTATTTTATGGTATAAGTGTATTAAGTGTTCTGGATGTACGAATAGAACATTTTAAGTTTAATATTCCTGCATTACCTACACATTGTTGAAAAATATATTATAAAAGTACCTACAGGAGATAAGTAGTAACTAGTAGTGTAGTACCTACTGCCTTCCATTATCAAATGACAAATACCAACAGATGAGTTATTATTTAAACAAGCAATTAATTCGTCTATTTATTTATATTGTACATTTAACAAATAATTTTAATAAAATCTATACAAAGCAGTGGCGCAACTAGAAAATAATTTCTGGGGAGGGGGTTACCCTCAACAATGTTAATTGTTAAAATATATAATATAACACGCTGGCAGCAAAAAAACAAAATTGTTTTTGGTTGTGGGGGGTTATAACACTCAAATACCTGCTGGTCGAGATACTGATACAAAGGCATACGCTATACATAGGTACTTAATATTAAATAATTAACACAATAGATAGAGGCGAAAAGCGAAGTATATAAAAATGCCTTAAATAGTTAAATATAGGTACAGACAACACTATAAGTAATTAGTTCAAGAAGTTCCCCTGTTTACATGGCAAAAACAATGTTTAATAATTTGGAAAATGATGTAAATGTTTTAAAAAAAGGTTAGTGTGATACTTATTTGTCTAATCCCAACAATGTAAATAAAAAGCATCTAAAAAAATCAACCAGTTAAATAATAAATGACCTCGATGAGAATGTGTATATCGTTAAAGTATAAAATGTGTCGATATGTGTAAATATAGGTACACTGTAAATATAAATATTTCCGACTTAATTATGAAATGGATGTTAATTTAAGATAGGTAATACATAATGTATAATCTAAATATACCTGTACATTTATAAATTATTTCATATTGTTATAATTCAATTGTATAATAATTTCATTGTAAAACAAATTATACATATCAAGGAACTCCGTGTTTCCTTACCTATATCAGATAGGTGTAGATACGAGCTTAGCTCAGTGCCTCAGTTGGTATAGACTATAGGTAGGTACGTATTAGCTCTTATATAACTATATTTTACTCTAAGCTAATATGTTATTGAATAATGCTGAAATAAATAAATACAAGTAATCATTTATCATCTTCTACATATATTTAAAAAAATGTCTGCCTAAACTCGTAAGTCGTATAACGTTTATTCTAATTTGCAATAATTGCATAGGCTACTCCCCAAACTCGTCCAACGTGTATACCTATAGGTATTGCAAGTATCTAATTATATTTTATATTCGACCTCTGGAAATGTATAAAGGTCAATCTCCAACATATATAATATTATCATTTCTTATTTTTCGGTCTGTTTACAGAAAAAATTGTTCTACCGAATAAAATTTGTCGTCTTGTCAGTGATCGTCAAGTTGAAATCGTACATTGTGAATTGTGATATTTAATTCTTATCTTCTAAAGTAAGAAGCTTATTAGTTATTCACTTATTATACTTATTAGTATACTAAGTGTATACGGAAAAGACAAATCCTAAATTTGGGTAAGTAGGTATCTATATGACTATATGTCTGTATAAGTAAAAACAAGGTAGATTATGTACACAATTTAATAGAAATAATTAGAAATCCCAAGTCCAGATTTGTTGTAAATAGTAGGTACTTGAGTTTTGCTAATGGTCAAACACGAAAAGTTATTTATGACGATTAATTTTTTTTTTACCTTTTCAGATTTTGGCATAATTAGGCGGGACGCATGCGTTATCGTGTATGTAGTAGGTATATTATATCCTTCGTGAGACACTTTTCAAAATAAAAATAGATGAATGTACAATAAACAAATACAATACTTAGTAAATATGTTAAATTTTAAATGATAAACAAAGTATCAAATATCATAAATAATTGAACAGATAATTTAAGCCACGATACAGATGGCAGATTTTGATGGAGTGGAAGTAGGTTTAAAAAAAAAAATATTTTAACGAAAATATAAAATTATTTTTGTTACAATAATAGGTAGGTAGTAACTATAATAGGTAGGTTATTAGTCAATAGTCAATTTACTGCTAATATTTTTCGATTTTTTTAAAACAATTTCAGTGGTGGGTCTGGACCCTTCGACTGCACTTTGGCGAAGGCTCACATTTTATGAATTAACTAACTATAGTGTTTAGTTAAGTAGGTACTTATTTTTGCTATTTGTTATTTGATGTAACTAAATTTATAAATAATTGCATTAGGTATATCATTTTAAAATCTCACTATATGTCTCAATAAAAGTTTTATTTTCTGACATATAACTTAAACTTATAAATGGTTAGGTTAGGTCATACACTCAATAGGATGAAGTGCCCCCATAGCCCAATAAATAAAACATCGTAATACACTCATTTATAATTTCTAACAAGTAGGTACCCCTTTCATAAAAATAAAACGTACTCATTAGATTCTGAAAGTAGCAAATGAATGTTTAGTATTTACAAATTAATTTTGTAATTTTTTGTAATCATAACGTAATATGGGTATGTATACCCAATTTAATTGATAACGTAGTTGGTAAATATGTAATTATGTAAACATTTTAATACGTGAGTGTGATCCTTTGCAAGTCCTCACAGGCGTGTAAATAAAAATTTGATGGTGGGTGTCCACTTTATTCATAATTTTACATTTGACTTGAAATTAACCTGGGTGCCACTGGCGCACAAAATATGTACTCGAATAACAACATTAATAGTTAATATCTATTCTGAGAATTCTACAATTAAAAACAAGAAACATAATACATTTAAATTGTGGAACTATAATGATGAGCCTCTATAATGTATTGAATTTTATAACTGATTTAAATATTTAATGCTTAACAGAACATAAAAAAGAATCTATATGGGAAATGGGTGAACCTATCAGGTTTGTTACAGAGAATTGATAAAACGAGTTTGAATTAATTATAAACGAAAGCTAATAACCTGTGTAGTTGATGCTTAACCAATAAAGAAAAAAAATACCTAAACGGATAGGTACATAGAAAAGAAAATCATTTGTATAGTTATATTCAGTATGGCACATGTTATAACATAACAAAATTGTTATTGTCATAGAACATTTTCGTTAAATAGTAATCTAAAAAGGAAACTTAAAAAATGCATATTCATACATGACTTTACTTACTACACCTAAACGTATGGAGCAAAAAGATCCTGCATAACTCATGGACATGAAAAAATGTTCACTTTATCGTTGTGTTATTAATATATAACATAATATGTTATATTATATTGTATTATAATTATTATTCGACGTAAGCAGTTAAAAATAATAACAATGAATGTAGGATTTTTTTTATAAATAGGTTTTTTTTTTATTTTAAACTATATTACATAATTCACATCATGCATGATGGTATGTCATAGGGCAAAAACAATACCAGGATGTGAGTTTGATTGTTTGAATTATAATTACAAATGGGGCCATTTGTATTACACGTATAATTTTGCATCGAGTTCATTCTGTAAAACTTCCGAACATGATTTTATGACTTAATTAAAAAAACAAATCAAAAAATGAAATTATTAAATATATATTATAAAAATATATAAACCTATAGTAATTTTTGTTGTTAGTCACTTTCTTGGGAATAAACCATTACTAAACATGAAACTAAGTAGAAACATGTATATTGTATTGGCATAGGATAAATTAATTTTATAACTTAACACATTTTCCGTAAAAATTCGTAAATAATAAATCTGTACATAATTTAATTTACTCGAAAAAATAAAGTATATTATTTACATTCTTATTTAAGTTTTTTTACTTATTTTAATTCTTTTACATAATGATAAAAACAATTGATATAAATATGAACTCATCAATGAAATTAGATACATGGCATTAACTGTCTATTACAAATTTGAATTAATCTACATATAATTATAAATAATTAAACAAAACAAAGGTCGTTAATCGAACAGCACTGTCAAAGCTTTAGACACTGCATTTCAAATCATTTTAGTATCGAAATTTTTTTTTTAAATTTCATTGTGTTTGTTTTAAATTCTAATGGTAATTATTTATTTTAAATAAAAACAGTTGTGGGTGTAATAAAGAAAATTAATCTTAATTACCGGCAGAAGTGTTTTTCTTTGTGATAAATTCTGTGCATTTATTTATACGTTGAAGCAATAACTTATATTTTGTTTCTGTGTTTTGTTATTTTTATTGTTTAGTGTATGAACGTACATATTTTCTAATTATTTTTTCATAAACGTTAGACATTTAATCCTCTATTATCATTTATATTTCGACTAGGTAATTTAGTTAACAATAATTACGTGGACAACAATATGGTACCAAATCGAAACAAATCACTCCTTGTAAATCGTAATGGTAATAATTTATTCATTTATAACAAATATTGTAAAATAAACACTATATCTTCGTATTAAGAGTGTACAATTTATTTATCGTTATTTTAGTAATAAAGACTGAAAATTATGAAGAAGCATACCGTCGATCTTTAGAAGATCCTGAAGGTTTCTGGGCTGAAGTTGGTGCCGTAGTCGATTGGTACAAGCCCTGGGATAAAGTTTTAGACAATAGTGCTCAACCTCTAACTGATTGGTAAATATTAAAATGGTTTGATTATTTGCTCATATGATTATGGGTTGAATGTAAACTTTTTATCTTATTCTTGTATAGATTTATCATAAAAAAATAATTCAACATTTCTTTTTTTCTATTTTGTGAAATTATACTATATAGTAAATTATGTATAGGTAATATTATAATTTATAATTTATGATTATTAATACTAGGTAGACACTAATAAGTAGTAATTTTATAGTTTTGTTTATATATATAAATATATTATAGAAACATAGTATTTCCGAATTATAATAACGATATTATTATCTAAACTAGTGATTCTCAACCACGAACTTGAATTAAGTGCACTACTATGTCACGACAAGTTATGAAAAGTACAAATAAATAATTTTTAGTTTATAGGTACTTTGTACAATCTAAATTTTTCGTAATAAAATAAAAAGTACAAAAATTGTTTTACAACAGTAACTATGTCAGTATAAACTCATCTTGTATTTACACATTGCCTGTAGGTTAACTGTTTAGTATTGAATTAGAACATGATATGATAATTAATTTATATTTATATATATATATATTTTAAATTTATTTTACAATAAGATATTCCTAGCTTGCTCGCTATCTACACCTACTTCACCAGAATTTAAAGTATTTATTAATTGTGTAAACAGTAAAATAATCTTTGGTTATAACTAGGTGTATAAAATAATTTTTGGTGTTTAAAATCTAACTGTACTTTATATTTTATGGTTTCCGCAGCATATTAGATTATGAAGCTTAAATATAAGAAACTTTATAAAATCCAAATTATTTTTGTAGGGCACACCAGAATTTTTAGAAAATACTCAAGGGTTGGAGGGTTGACTCAACTCCCAAGGCTGAGAATCGCTAGTGACTTTGTGACAAAGTCATGGCAGTATTCATGTTTACGAATATATTCTATACAGTTATTATTAAATATCATAGGATATTAGGATATTAAATAATAACTATTAGTTTGGTACTTTCATTAGTTACTTTATTCACACATTCTATTGTGTAGGTATTGGTATTTGTAAGAACTCGATAGGTAGGTACATACAGTCACAATAAAACATAATTCTTGCATTTGAAAATTCAAATTACGCCTGAAATAATGAGTGTGTTATTTAGTTGTAAATATACATTTCATGTACGTACCAACATATTTATTATTATTATTAATTATCCCGCGGCAACACAGGTCATTGTGTGCTATTAGCTATTGTAAGGAGTTAGGGAAGGGTTGGTACGGTTGTTGGAAACTCATTTACTTATGTGATTATACTGTGTATTATACTGCATATAAATGATAAATACTATACGAAGAAGGTGCCTATTCCAAAAAAAATTTTAGACATTTTATTATTTCAGTTTGATATTTTTTTTCATTTTAAATTTTGAATATTTATGGGAGATTAAAATGGGTTAATATTTTACAAGTTAAAATTCGTTTGAGTTTTGGTATCAGGTTAAGTTATTTTGATCTTGCCTGATTATAAGGTACTAAAAAGTTAGTGACGTGTCGTATTATATATAATGTTTATAATTATAAGTTAAGACTATCCAAAGTTTTTTGGTATCGTATGGTATCTACAAATAGTATTGTATCTACTGCATGTCTGCAAAGTTTAACAGCTCCCATGTACATTTACTTTTGAGATAAAATATAAATATTATATATATATGTTGAATTATAAAATTATAATCTGGGTACCAAATTATAAGATGAGAAAATAAAAATACCATAGGATAACTACTAATTAGGTGCATGTTACAATGCAGTATTATACTATTATTTATTGGAAATCTATAACAAATCTAAAATAAAAAATAATTCTTAGTATCTATATACCAGCTAAAGTATTCGCATGTGTAGGTAATTACTGAATCACAATTTTATTAAAAAAAAAAAAAAACACTGAAAGCCTTTAATTCGTCATAGATCTTAAATAAGTTTCCGAGATGTGGATGAGTATGATCTCAATATTTACTTATTTATGAATTTAATTAGAAATGTTTATTATATTTTATTATATTTTGTTACATTTCTGTTTATAAGCGGTAACTATAATAAAGCTAGACGTTTATATTATTAATATATTAGTTATCTATAAAATAAACGCTTTTAGACATTGTACCTACTTGTCACTTTACACAACTAACTGTTATATCTTTATATTACGTGAACTTATGAGTAATATATTAGTAAATTATTTGTTGGAAAATTGGTTGTAATATGTACCTACTAAAAATATATTTTCAACATTTTTGAATCGTTTAAAAACGATATAAATTACTATAATTAGGTATAGGTTCTATAATACATACGTATTCCTTTATTATCCTCTATTGGGAGGTAGCCATAGTACTAAGCCATTTTCGTTTGCGATAAAATCAAGGGTGCGTCGGGAGGCAACTCGTGTATAGTCTGGAGGCAATTTGTATAAAATCATTGATCTTTTTAACTTCGGGAAGCAACAAGTTGTGCCCAACTGTAGCCATATCCTACCCCATCAGACCACCCTTCATTAAATATTTAGTTACTTATTTAATGGTTTTAAATTAAATTACGCGTTAGGCGGATTAGGTAGTTCAACTTACTATTACATCTATATGAATTAAAGTAAAAGCTAATACTTTTCATCAATTTTAGGTTTGTAGGGGGACAAATAAATGCATGTTACAATGCAGTCGATCGTCATATAAAGGCAGGCAAGGGTAAAAAAGTCGCATTAATTCATGACAGCCCTGTCACAAAATCTGTGACAAAAATTACTTACGAAGATCTTTTTGAAAAAGTTTGTTCTAAATTTTAAAATAGACTGTATAAATATAAAATAATTGTTTATTTTATTTCAAGGTATCATTGTTAGCTGGTGCTTTGGTAAATCTAGGTGTAGTAAAAGGTGATCGTGTTTTGATTTATATGCCTCTTATACCTGAAGCTATTATTTCAATGTTGGCTGTGGTTCGAATTGGAGCCGTTCATTCTGTGGTTTTTGGAGGTAAGATAATCTACGATAATCAGCTAATATTGTTTAAGACAACTACCTATATTAAGGTTTGTGTTTTGTGTATACTTAAGCAGGTATTACGTAATACGTATACCAATAAATGTTATGGGTATGAATGTATTAATAAAATTGAAAAACTTATGTATGTACCTAATATATATTTCTCTGATAATAACAATCTATACAAAATATAATACATACTTATTGAGTAGTGAGTGGACAATTAGAATCGCGATCAAAGGAATTTGGAAAATATTCTTTAGTGAAATATTTGACACATGATATTTAAAGACTTAAAGTTTATTTTAAAGAAAATGTCTTAGCCAAATTTGTATCTACTATAGATGTACTATCAACTAAAAACTAAACGGATTTAACTAAAAAGTGTTCTTATAAAATAAAAATGAAGTCAAGCATATAGTCTCTACTGTTATGATTATTGTATTTACCTAATTAATATAAATATTTAAATACAATCAACCTATTTATTTTGATGCAAAACGTTAATAAAAACTTATTAGGTGAACTTTTAGGAAATTTCGGAGCAATTAATTTTATTAGTACCTACGTGCATATTATTGAAAATAATACATACCTACCTAGTTATTATTATTTATTATGGAATGCATTATATTTCTCAGGATTTGCAGCTCGGGAACTTTGTGCACGTATCAACCATGCCACTCCTAAGGTTATAATTGCAGCTAATTGTGGGATCGAACCGAACAAAATAGTAAGGTATTTGAAAAAAAAAATTTTGCTAAAGAAAAAATGAACGAAAAACAATAATTGTTCGTGATGTGGTTTTAAATCTAGGTACAAAGATATTCTAAACACTGCTCTTGACCGGGTAACAGAAAAACCTAAACATTGCATTATATACCAAAGACCAAACATGGAACCTTCTCCATTAACTCCAGGAATTGATATACTTTGGTCCGATGCATTGTTGACAGCTAAACATCATCCATGTGTACCAGTGGAAGCAAATCATCCTCTTTATATACTGTATACATCAGGCACTACAGGTATGTATATTTTATTTTATAAACAATATATAATAATGTAAATTGAAATATTAAAAGATTTAAGTACCTATACACTTTCTTTTTAGATTTAAAAACAATTTTTTTCTTAATAATACATTTGCTATTTCGTTGTTACATAACTATTATCATTGATGAGAAGAGTAGCTTAAAAAATCGTTTTAATTAAAAAATGTATTTATATATTATATATAATTCTGTAGCTTAAAAATATTGTAAGCTTATAAAATATTTGTACTTCTAAAATGTTGTGTAGTGGTTTTCTGAGACCGATTTAGATTATATTTTCTTATATATGATATTATAAAGGATCTTATTCTTGCAATTAGTTATTACAATATTGATAATTACGTTTAAAATAATTTTAATGTATATATTATGTATTATCTATGCACTTATATAAAAGTAGGAGCAAACATGACTGGTAAAATGATTTTTTTGACAAATTTTTATAATATGAAATATTTTAAGTTATTTTGATCATAATATTTAAAATATATTTAAACACTTAGATAAACCTAAAGGAATTGTGAGACCAACTGGTGGACATATTGCCACATTATGCTGGACAATGAGCTGTATTTATGGTATGACGGAAGATGACGTTTGGTGGACTGCATCTGACATGGGCTGGGTAGTAGGACATTCTTACATATGTTATGGTCCACTTTGTGCTGGAATCACATCAGTTATGTATGAAGGTAAACCGGATAGGACACCTGATCCTGGACAATATTTTAGGTAAATCATGTTTGATTTTATAGATAATTTAAATTATTTAAGAGACATAAATAAAAAAATGATTACTGTATTATCTAATAATCTAATAATCACCAAGGCCTGAAACACTTTCATTAATACTTTATAGAATTTATAAATCGCATGATTCTATTATAAATTAATGTTATTCCGGAAATAATCTTCAACATTTCAATTATTTAATTGATAATTATAGCCTACACGATAGAAAACTCATATTATTATTATTATTATTATTATTATTAATTATATTTTTATAACAAATGATTTGAATGTAAAATACGTATTTGTGTAACTTGAATAATTTTTTTTAATCTTAGAGTAATCCAAGACCATAAAGTGAATGGACTATTTACAGCACCAACTGCTTTAAGGGTCATCAGAAGAGAAGATCCAGTTTTGGAATTCGGTAGCAAATATAACACTAAATCGTAAGTTGTAATGTAATATAATATCAATTTATAACTTCCAATATATTTTATTCCAGGCTAAGAACTCTATTTGTGGCTGGAGAACATTGTGATCATGAAACATTGGCTTGGGCTGGAAAAGTTCTGAATGTAAATTAAAAAAAATGTTATCTATGAAATTATACATATATGCATAAAACTGTAGATATATATTATGTAACTATCTAAGTTGTTAAATACAATTTTTAAGTTCGATTTTTTTTTAATTAGGTACCTGTCTTGAATCACTGGTGGCAAACTGAAACTGGTCATTCAATTACGGCCACTTGTCTGGGATTTGGACATAATCTAAAACCTCCTATGTTTTCTGCCGGAATGCCGTTTCCAGGATATGATGGTAACTTTTTATAGTTTTTTTAGTTTTTTTTTTTTTAAGTGATACCATGTTTATTCAATTTTACTGAGATAGTGTGAAACAGAATAATTTTTGATTTTGGTGAAATGCAACGATACAAATATTGAAAATTCTGCTACATCCACTAGAAGATAAATGACCATAATTTATTAATTATAATTTCAGTGAGAATTTTAAAAGAAGACGGTAGTCCGTGCCAGCTATTGGAATTGGGTCGAATTGTGGTCAAACTTCCATTGCCACCAGGAGTTATGTCATGTTTGTACAATGCCCCCGAACGATTTATTAATACATACTTCAATAACTTTATTGTAAAATTATACGAATTTCAATACCAAATGTATGACTTATACTGTGAACTATTACATTAGGGTTATTATGATACTATGGATGCTGGCTATACCGATGAAAATGGTTATATATACGTTACAGCCAGGGACGATGATGTTATTAATGTAGCTGGGCATCGGCTGTCGACATCTGCATTAGAAGATGTAATTCTATCTCATCCGGACGTTGGCGATGCAGCTGTATTTGGTGTCCCAGAGACTACGAAAGGAGAAATACCTTTATGTCTTTATATCAAAAACAAAAGTTAGTAATCATTTTTGTTCGACATTTTTCAAAGTATACAAGTTAATCATAATGGAATTAGATTGTAGTAAAAAAGAAGAAGATATCAACAACGAAATCGTACAAAACGTTCGAGATTTAATTGGACCGATTGCATCATTCCATTTGTGTGCACCTGTGAAAGGTTTGCCAAGAACTCGATCGGGAAAAACAGCTAGAAAATCATTATCAAATTTAGCCAGTGGAAAAAGAGTGATTGTAAGTCAATCATTTAATACATTTAATAAACAGTTTAATGTCAGTACTCAGTACCTGCTATAGTAATATAATATAATATTATGATACTTACTCTCAATATCTATTTATAAATTTTGGTCCAGTATGTAAAACTAAAATGTTATAACTCGGAACAATTTAATTGTTTTTTTTTTTAAATTGTATAAACCATGAAAGTATCTGAAACCTAAATCCCTCTACATTCAATATATTTTTTTTTTATGGCATCAATTGCGTGGTTATTAGCCAGGGGGTTTTTGGGACTGTTAGGTTTTACTGTATGGTTCGGAACACGTGTGTCTACATTTAATAATAGGTACCTATTAGAAAAACTATAATCAATGCCGGATATCTAACTATAAGTAATATGTTCGTTAAACGATAGTCTTAAAACATTTGATACATACAAATTAAAAAATATTGCGTTTTTATCATTATAACAATATATAATATGAATAATGTCAAATATACGAAAACATACTTAAAACAAAAAAATACGAACAACAATATAATAATATTCAAACCTTTTTCCATGACTTTTTATGTTTTCATTTTTAATACTGCTATAATACGTTATTATTTAATATACCAATTTAATGGCAACGAGTTATTAACAAAAAAGTTTAATAAGCCATAAATACGACATTGATGTTATAATAATTAGGCAGTCACTTGGGTAATCACTATCTAAATATTTTAATGTACCCTTAATTAAAATTAAATATTACAAATCTATACAATGTTTCAGATATCAGGTACGATAGAAGATCCATCAGTATATTTGAATATCAAACAGGTGTTACAAAAACTTGGTTATGCTAAAAATGCTCCAGACCCTGAAATTGAAAAATAACAAAGCATCTGTAACAAATATGTAAAATTTAATTTATTTTAAAATTTAAATTTTTATTTGATTATTTCAACAGTAGGTGCAGTAACATATTGTTAAAATATGTATAAAATAAACTATATATACATAATATATATTATGTAAAATCAAAAAAGTTAACAAATTATTATTTCTAATTGCTATTAATTTGTAGTGATATGGAAATTATGACAAAGGTGAAAACTACAATCACTTTAGATACCTACTAAAAAAATAAGCTATTAAATATTGCGTTATATATTTATTACCTATGTATGTATATAATATTATTATAATCATCATACACTACAATAATGTTACTTATTCAAGTCAGTGTAAATTTAAGGAAATCAATATCTAATTAAAAACAGTAGGAAAGAATCATTTATATTTTATTTAATTACTAATAGTATAACACCGCATTGGTCCATGTGTGATAAAAATTGAGTTTTAATAATATAATTTCGGAAGTTGCATTTTTAGTTGTGAAATGTATTAAAATTATGAATTGCATTTAATAATCTGCTTAAAATATTTAGGTATTAAAATCTTAGCAAGCACACATTTATAATTAATTAGTTTTTATTAGATAGCTAATTTACACTATTGTTATCATTACTCATTATTAAAAATTATATCTAAGACTATGATTTATCAATAAAAATTGTGTTTAAAATCACGTTTTATTAATACGAATATAATATAATTAATTATGAATGCGTTTTTCATGATTTTATTTGTATTTATGTGGTGAATTATATTAATAATTATACTAGTTGTATGTACACTTTTTCCCTGGCACAAATCGAATTCTGTAATCAAGTTGAAACAAATTACCGATTTTTACTAAATACAAGTATTATACTCAGATCAACTAAAAAAGAAATTAACAACCCTTAATTATTAAGCATGATATGATTTCATACGTAGATATCTATTTATTGGTAATAATTACTTTAAAAATATATGTGTTTAGGATTACTTCAAAACTTTATCTAAAAATATTTGTGTAATTAATAAACGTTTATGTTATATACAATCCATATTTTTTCTATTTTCCTGATTAAATAAAATGTATTATCAACAAACATATTTCTAAATGCAGCTTTAGGATCTACTGCCTATACCATTTATGCCCTATAACGTATAGTTAAAATATGTATGTATTTTATCCTTACGTTAAAATTATAGTGGTACGAGAATATTTTTCATTGCCTCGATCGTTTAATAACTAGAATTTGGATAATAAATGTACAATTTATACTCAAAAAAACATATTTTCCACAAGATCAGTTTGTTTAAAGATTCAAAGAAAACTAAATATGATATTAGTTGGTTTATTTTCATATGAAAAAATTAAATACCTTTAGTCCTTACTTAACTTTAAAATTATTGAAGTTATTTAATGCAACCAGAAAATAGATAAATTCTAGAAATTCATTTCATTTTATACTAACTTTTTTAATAAATTAAAATAAAGGTTATTAACAACACCTACAATATTTCTATACTGTACTAGAAAACTTGAGTTTTTAAGATATTTTTAGTTCATATGGCTATGGTATTGATTTTTTACACATTATAAAAATGTACAGTATGTTTCGTCGTCCCAGTATATTATGTTTTAAACATGATATTTATTCACAGTTCTTACAAAGTTTCAAAAGACAAATGATTTATTAAAAAAACATTCTTAGTATTATTTTTGTATAATTAATGAATAATGTATTATACCAATTTTTTTTAAAAAGATAATATAGTTCTATGAATTGGTTTATTTTCCGACCATAAACAAATACCCGACGTGAATTATACATAAAATTATACAATTCACATTTCCTCCAAAACAGAGTAGTACCTAATCAGTTATCATATGCTATGTTATTATTATTCTTTTGAGCCTGAAATAATTTATCTTAGCCCATTTGCACCCCTAGTATTAGCCCATGTGGTATATGCGCCCGATTTGATCGAAGAAAAATGTTGCATAATTCGTTAGACAACAATATATAAAATCTAAAATAATATTATAATAATCAATAATCATATACTATATACATACATAATTAATGACGATATAGGATTATATTATATTCATATGTATTTATATGTATATAAAGACTTTATACTAATTATTAATATATAATTATATATATTGAGTTTTTGTATATTATTACAAGTTACTGGGATACATTATACATCAATAACCTTATTTATAGACCTTTCTATTATTTTTTTGTATTTATTTGAACAAATACAATGTATAAGTATATGTAATGCAGGATGATTCTTTCAACATAAGACCATTATTATTTTAGAAATTATTAACTTTTTTCAAATCTGTCTTAAATAGTGACGTTGCATGTCAATGAAGCGCATTTAAGCTACCACCCACACATCAAGATGATATGCTTTTAATGTTTTTGGCATGAATGACTAAAACCCCCCTTGGGGCTCAAATGGTCTGCGCCGACAGTAATTGTTAAAAAATTACTGTTTAGATTTCAAATAAATTTTTTTTTTTCGGTGTATAATAACTACTCTATGTTATTAGCATTATTATAATTTATTAGCTATTAAAATGCATATTACATTGTTGTTAGGTAATATTTTTGTGAGTATTGTACAATATATTAAAAAATTATATTATAAGATTCAATTTTAACTTTTAATATTGGTCAATATTGGTCTTTTGGAAATCTATCAAACTATAAAACCGGTAATTATATCGGTGAAAATTAAATTAACATTATTTTTATATTGATTGTTTATAATCTTAAACTGAAATACCTAACAACATTATTCTATACACGTTTACCTATATTCTTCAAAAGATCGCTTCTTTTTGTAACTATAATTATTGAAAATGTATTGGTTTTATTAAAAATTCATGCAAAAATTGATACCTTTGGGACCACATCGAACATTTTCTCATTAAAAACTGCGCCAATGAACTATAATAATGTACTGTTATAGTGTTATCATTAAGAGCGTTCATTAGCCCGAACGTGATGTTTATTCCGGCACGGAGTTTACGAAGAAACAATTTTCATTTTAGTTGCCGGAAACTCGTTGGTGGTTAATTCTATTTAACAGTGTTCAATATATTTTCTTACCACTCCCACTCGCACAAACAATGCAAAATAGAAGTTAAAATTTGGGTTAGGTATTTTATTTAAAAGCGTTTCTCATATTATAACTATAATCAATAAAAGTTGCCTACCTAATATATTATCACAGGAGTATAAAGTTATTCAATTCAATTGTGTATAGAGTTATAGAAAATTGATATATTAAATGTATTTATTTATAAATAAATATCTAATGAAATATAGTTTAGCCTTATACATTTATAAATTACGCCTTTTGTCGATTTATGTCAAAAGAATAATTTTGTTTTCCAGCCAAAAAGTATGACAATTTAATAACAAGGATTCCTCGTGAGTTGTTTTTATAGCAGTTAAAAATGATGAAAAAACATTGTTGAAACATTCCACTACCTAGTACTTTTATTACCATTTTCTATACACAAATTACATTTTTTTAAATATTTAAACTAATACCTACTATTTACCACAATTTTATTAGGCATATTAATAAGTATTTAAAAATTATCTATTAGCAATATACTATATTTTTATTAGTTCCACTTTTATAAGTTAACCATTTTTATTAATTCAACCTGCTATTGAATTAAGACAATAATAACTTTAATAATTATGATGTATAAACAATCAGCCATTTCCTTTGCCTCAGAATTGGTTTTTGGTTTACAATAATTTCATATGTAACACGTAAATTATTGATAGATATATTAGAAACAGCAGAGAAAATAATCCGAATTTTTGTAACATGAACATTTGAAATCATTTTAAATTGATGAAGAAATAATACTTTCTTGTTTAAAAATGTGCCTTTTAAACTCAATATTATTGATTATTACCCATCTCAAAATTTGTATTTTATCATTTAATATTGGAATAGGTACATATAAACGTAATTAACAATTATTATTCTACATTCACATTTATGTTAGCTTCTACTTTCATATTTATAATTTACATTACTTTTATTTTTTTATATTTAATTGTTTGATTGGTATTTTTAAGAATCACATATCGTCTTATATTTGCGGTAAAAGAAGTTGTGATAAATAATATAGGGCAACTATCTGAACGGTAAACAATCATAATCACAAAAAGTATTAATATTTTTGAAAATGGAAAAAGTGTAATTATTATAACTGTTGATAGAAGAAAAATTATCGGGCTAATGATACACATTGAGTCTGCGATTAATTAGGATGCAATATTAGACCGAAATTGAGACGAATAATTATTGTTAGGGTTGTTGTTGATCGCTTCTGCATATAATTTTCGCGAATGGCCGGAAGGAGTTTTAAAAAAACTAGTTACCTAGTGGAATATCTTGAGATATTTTTGACAGTTTTACTACGTATATGTTATAATAATTAAGAAATAATTGTAAAATATTACATTTATTCAGTTGTTACAATTGTTAATTCGATATTTAAAAAACACATATTTTATACACCATTACTGTATGTACTTCAAAATAATAATAATGATAGTGACGTGAATATTTACAATGTATATAAATTTTAAAATACATATACATTATTACAACACAGTAACAAGAATAACTATTATGTAAAAAAATTTATGATTGTAATATGTTTTGAGTGTTTCTGAAGACGGCCGCGTAGGTATATCATCATTATTTTTAAGCAGTATTTATTGTCCACTTTTAAAAATTAGTTTCTTTAAAACGGCACCAAATTCTGAAACACATGTGTTCAAAATGACTAAAAACATGTTTATTGTTACCGAATTTGGCATTTTTTTATACCCACTGGAACATAATATACACTTGTGAACAATGTAAATTAAAACATCGGTGCACTATTTGGTGGTTATTTTTCAATAATATTATTATGCTTGTCATCTTCTTAGAGTATATGTATTATAATAATAAAAAACTTTTCATTTAGACCAATATACATACGCCAAACATGCTCGCCCCTGTTTTTTTTTTTAATAAATAATTATTTAAAACTCTTATTTTTTAAGGATTATATTTTCAGATACTTCAATTTTTTCAATGTAGTTTCTAAAGTAGAAATTTTTTTTTAATGTTGGTGTGTCTAAATCTAAATTTAAGCGAGTAGTTCATACAATCACACGTACTTAGTTTAAAATGTATTATTTATACTAAGGATAATAGAAAACATTTTTTTACAAAAATATGAAATATATGTTATTTGATTTAGTGACATTTTTTAAAATTATACGAATATAAAGTTAAAAGAACAATTATAATTATTATAATTTTGAAATAAATTCATAGGCTCTGTATCTTCCAAAAATATTATCACGGAATATATTAATACTTAAAAATTCCAAAAGTCAGAATTTTAATAAATAAAATATTAAAAGGACTGGTCCCTGGTGTTTTTAAATAGGTAGGTACCAAACACATGTCTACTTAGATACAGAATAAATCGTTTCAGAATGATTTTAGGACAAAAACACCTATATTAATAATATAATATTTATTTCAATTTCATTTCACAAATATACATAGAAAATATAACACTAGGAAAGTTTGAAATGATGATGACTCCAAAAGCAAAGCTTGTGAAGGAGGCACCTACCTATATTATACATATGAAACGTAGAAAAAATGTAGCTAAGTATAAAGGGCCGATCCAAAGGGGGGGGGGTTAGAGGGAATTGGGTAAAAGTGCCCCTTCCGTACAGAGATTCTGGATCCACCCTTGGTGAATCACCCTGTATGTGTACAATTTCTTAAAATGATTAATGTTTATTAGTTTATAAAGTAAATAGTTTTTTATGCACAAATTAAATGATTATATAGCTAGTCTCAAAACTTTATAGATAATCATCAATATATTTATTTATTTTAATCTAATCTAAATGTTATGCCTATGGTATTTC